CATTTCTTTTTAAGTGTGTTGCGAATACAGGATTCCTGAACAACTCGGGGGGAGCTCTGTAAGGTCTGGCTTTTCTCGCTGCTCATACATGAGCTGTCTTTTGTGAAGAGACTCCCCATGGATACCAGTCAGGAAGAAACCCTGACTGAGGTACCCACATAGATGCTTTAAAAAGAAGGTAATGTTCCTGTGGACTGTGCCTCAGTGAAAACATGTGAAAACAGTGAAAATATAAGCAGCAGCTTATATTTCCCAGTAATAAAATTAGAGTTGAGTAAGCTGTACACATATTCATTGCTAAGAGATGGTTTAGCTTGCAGGGCCTTTCTCATCGTTTCTTGTGTGACAGAAGTTGCAGGATTTCTGCCATTTTGTCTCAGATGTCAAAGTAGACACATTGCTTATCTGTAGAAAATTCTTCAGGAGCTGTGTCACAGAGAAGCAAAACCTCTCCTATTCGCCATTCCGATCACTCTCAAATGTTTCTTTATTATTATTATTATTGCGTTCTTATTTTCTTTTGCTGTCCTGTAGTAAGTCTGTATTCTGTTTTGGGAGTTCTTTACAATTGTTTTTTTCTGTACAATTTATTTTTTATTTATTTATTTTGCTGTTTGATTAGGTAATTAAACATTTATCTGGTTCACTTGAAAGGAATGATGATAGAACAAGGGGAAATGCCTTCAAGCTCGGGGTGGGTAGATTTAGGTTCGATATAAGGAGAAAAATCCTCTACAGTGAGAGTAGTGAGGCACTGGACCAGCTTACCTAGTGATGTGGATGATGCTCCTTCCCTGGAGACTTTCAGGGTGAGGCTGGATCAGGCTCTGAGCAACCTGATCTAGCTGTGGTGTCCCTGTTCATTGCAGGGGAGTTGGACTAGATGCCCCCCTCAAAGGTCCCTTCCAATTTTAAGGATTCTGTGATGAAGAAAACTTACCCCCACTTGAACCAGTTTTTGTTGGAAATTCCCCAGGACAACTTTCCTAAACATTAGGAAGGCAATGGATTCTTATAAGATGACTTAAAATGTGTGCAGCCAAGCCCATTATTACTTTAATCACACTTGAAATATGCAACCTATGACTGTAAATTCTAATGGTGCTTGTGTATCAGTGAGTCTCATGGTGGGTCTGCGTGTTGCCTTCTTGCAGCATGGGCTCCCTAGGAGCAGGCTGGCTTATCCCCTGAGCTGCTTGTTGAGGTCCTGTGAGACACAGGGAAGTGAAGCTCAAAAGAGTTGGTATGACCTTAAGGACACCCTCCTCTTAGCATGTTGCTAATGGTGACTAGTGATTTAGTGACAAAGGACACAGGCATGACTGAGGTATGCATTGTCTTCTTTGCCTTTATCTTCACCAACAGGATGTTGTAGGCCGTTCTGCCTCTAACTGAGACTCAAAATGGAGAGGAAATGTCAATAGCAGGAGAGAGTTGAGTCAGTGCTCTTTTGGACATGGAGAATGCATCTTGGCACACTGTATATGGGGAGCAAGGCTTCTAAAACTGGGACTGCTAATTAGGTCACTGCGGACTTGAAAATAGAATAAGAAAGCTACAAAGGTGAATGTTGGGATAAGTTGTATTTATACACTTTGGGTTCTTTGTAGCACTTCTTCAAAATTTTCAATGCAGAATGTTTTCCGTTTGCCATGTCAGCAACCCTGAAGAGTTTCTGAAAATAAAATCTTGTTGCAAAGGAAGCTGGGCAAAGTCATGTCCTATCCACCACTTCAGAATTCCTGAGAAGTGTGGCTGGTAATTCAGCTGGTTGCAGAGGAAATTACTCTCATAAGAATTAGTGTAATGGATGGGAGCGTATGTGTACTGATACTTAGAAGAGCACACAGGTGAAATAAGCAGGGACATGTAAATATGGAAGGTAGAATGAGGACGTAAAGCAGGGTCACAAGGATGTTTAATGAGTAGAAATGCTGTTGTTTTTTTTTTTTTTTGTCACAGTTCTAACAGATCTCAGCTTTGTAATTTTTGAGAGAAGTGCCCCACTGTTTCCCTGTTACTGTCCTTCATCCTTGATTCTTTTAGATTAATCTGAAAAAGATGTTGGCAGTGATGAAAATATAACTGTTTATGCAGCAATAAGAAACTGGTAAGATTTACATCATACGTACCGTGTATTGAAATAAAACATTTCTTAAGTTCAGTTCCTGTGCGTATCTTCCCTTCTTTTTTTAGTACTTCTATTTGTACTTCTAAAATTGTTTTGCTGTCCACTGAACTTGGTGAGACAGATGGGTAACAGAGCAGAGCATTAAACACTTATTTCTGAGCAGTTTATAAAAAGTTCCTGTGGTCATTACGGCTTGCAGATATGCCAAATTAGGGATCAGGGTCCAGAGGAAAACCTGACTGATTAGCCACAGAAGATTGGAATGTGTTGAATGGTTTTCTGGAATTGGTATTTCTGTCCTTGCTTCAAATCATGACAGTAGTTCCAAGGAGATGGTAAAATAAGCATGATGGTGCTGCAGATTTAACCCCTCAAATTCTCTGGTACTCTTACTCTACTCTTACTCCTAAGTAATAGTTACTCCCTGCCTACAATGATATGAAAAGTTGTCTGAACTGAATTTGTATTCTGAACAGACTCCATGTCTTTCAATTCTCCCCCCTGGCAGAGAAAGATCAGTTTTGTTTTTACTGCTCCTCTTGCTGTGCTTCCAGATAATTGTCGGTAATGGATGTATATGGGACCCAGATTAAGGAGTGCATTATTAGATAGTGTATCATGTTCCAAAAGCAGATTGCTTCAGTAAGGAAACCTAATGCAATTAGAAACAAATTTCCTGATGTGTGGAGTATTGCAATGTCTCATCAAATGTATGACTTCACATTTGCCATTTATTAAACCACTGCAAAGGATTCAGATAATTCCTTTTACGAATGAAAATACCTGGGCTGTGGGAGTGATGTAGGATATAGTGTTCTAGTTCCGTGTGTAATTTAGTATAGAATCATAGAATGGTTTGTGTTGAAAGAGGCATTTGCAAATAATCTAGTTCCAGTCTGCCTGTCGTGCATAGTGACATCTCTAGATCATGTTGCCCAAAGCCCCAGTCAGCCTGGCCTTGGACACCTCCAGGGATGGGGCATCTACAGCTACAGTCTGCTCTAGTACCTCACAACATTCATTGTGAACAATTTCTGCCTTACATGTAATCTCAACCTACCCTCTTTAAGCTTAGAGCTATAATCCCTTATGCTGTCACTGCATAATCTTATAAAAAGTTGTTCTCCATCTTGTTTATAGGCTTTCCTCAAGTTCTGGAAGGGTGTAATGGGCAGCCTGGTCTAGTATTGAATGTGGAGGTTGGTGGCCCTGCATGGGACAGGGGGGTTGGAGATTCATGATCCTTGAGGTCCCTTCCAACCCTGGAGCCCTCTCTTGTCCAGTGCAAACAAGCCCAGCTTCATCCTCAGCCTTTCTTCATAGGAGAGGTGCTCCAGCCTTCTGAGCATCTTCATGGCCCTCCTCTGGATCCATTCCAACAGCTCCACATCTTTCTTGCACTGGGGGACCCAGGCCTGGACGCAGTACTGCAGATGGGGCCTCATGAGGGCAGAACAGAAATGGACCATCCCCTTCATCCTGCTGGCCACCCCTCTGTAGATACAGCCCAGGATGCAGTTGGCCTTCTCACTCACACACTGCTGACTCATATTCAGATTTTCATCTGCTGATATACCCAAGGCCTTCTCTTCAGGGCTGTTCTCATTTCCTTCAGACTGTATTTGTGTCAGGGATTGCCCTGACCCAGGTGTAACACCTTGCACTTGGCCTTGTTGAACCTCATTAGGTTCACCTGGGCCTAGTTTTCAAGCCTGTCTATGTGCCTGGGATTGCACCTCTTCCTTTCAATTCACTACCATGGAATGTGATGTAGATTTATTTGGAAAAATGTATACAATCTGTGTTGTTTTGCTATTCATCCATTAAAACAAATGATATTGATAAGGAATTGTTTGGTAAGATGATTCATGTAGTAGCAACTCCTAACTGACTACTGTGATTATCAGGGCAGGTTTTCTTATGACGTGCCCATGTTGACTTATTAACTACAGAAAACAGGAAGAATTTAATACATATGCAATATTAATACAATATTAAAAACAAAACACTACCCTCAGAATCTTAATGGTCAGATTTTCAAACTACTCTGGTGACATAACTGTGTCTATTATTAATTGTTAGTTTTAATATGATAGTAATCTTGAACCACTCTTACAACCCATGTGTTCACATTTTCTTATTGGACCATGTAGCCTAATTAGATGTTTTGTGAGAAATTTTACAGAATGCTTTGAATGTAGGTGCTTAAAGAGAGTTTAGAATTTCCCAACCTCTAAGCATTTCACAGCTTCTTACAGATTGTTATTCTGTGGATAGATGTTTGCAGCCATTCAGTAGTAAATATGTGTGTGAATACATGCACACGTGCAGAGGAGGAAAAACAATGTAAAACAACTTCTGTTCATGTATTTAGATTATAAAACATCATTTGTACTAATGAAGCCAATGTAATATAGTATCTATGAATAATAATAAAAAACTACTGGAAGTACAGGATTGTCTTGGCTTGATGGACTCAATTGTATATAGTTACTGCTTTCTGTTTGGTGTCTGCTTTTATTAGTGTTGGATTGCAGAGTTAAGTGTTACTGCAAGATGTTAGAAAATGACATAGATTTTATTTTTACTTGTTTAATTTAGCTTTAAAAAATAGAAGATGCATCTGTCACCATGGCTTTTAAATGTCAAGGTCAAGTTTAGAAAGTTACTGTTTTATAGCAGATTTGTCCTTTATTGCCTATGTGGTATGGTATCCCTATTAGATATAACAAGTCTGTTGAATGCTCCATATAACTGTATAGCAGAGGATAGCTGAACGCTGTGTAAGGGAGTGAAAACAAACTAAAACTGATACACTGGCAGCATTTTGTTGTTCAAGAAGGTCATGTAACTGTATTCCAATTTTCAGAGCAGTGGAAAGAGTTCAGTGTTGGAAAGCCTTGTGGGGAGGGATCTGCTCCCACGAGGTACCGGAGTTGTGACCCGAAGACCCCTCATTCTGCAGCTGGTGCATGTTTCCCCAGAGGATGGTCGGAAAACAGCTGGAGATGAAAATGGTAAGTGTGATCCAAGAGTGTGTTTGTTCTAGCAGGAAATAGACTTTTAATTTTCTGGTGTATTTTACTGTAAAATCAGTTGTTGTAATCTTAAAACACTTTTTTTTTTTTTTTTTTAAATAAGTTTCCTTGGAAGAAAAGACTGCCATTGTCACAACTGTGATGTCCATAAAGCAAATGTCATGACATCAAAAGCTTTTGTGTATTTAGAATATCTTTAATGTTTTAAGCATTCCTGTTTGTTCTTAGCGAGTGCCTTTGAGAAAATCAGGCCAAAGGAAGCATTTCAGTTTCGATAACGATTGTCAATTTTGATAATGAAGCATCAAGAACATGATTTCCTTGTGTGTGCTTTACTCCCCCTTCTCTTTTGCTGTTTAAATAAGACCTTTTCTTGATGTTAGGAGCGTGTGACTTTTTAGAAGGAGGTGAAGAGATGGATAAGCTCTGGACTAAGCAGTAGGAGAACCAAAACCAAAGAAAGCTGTGGCAGACGTGAGGAGAATTGGATGTGTTCTCGTGGCTTACAGTTACTAACTGATTGAGCTACTCCAAGAGATTTTAAGCACACCAAGAACTATGCTTTAAGTTGTCTGAAGGTGTACCTTGAAGCTTTTGTCTTCTGTGATGCTTCATTATTACCTTGCCGCAGATGAAGAAAGTCATCTCAGTGGTCCTTTGGAAGTTTGAACACTCCTGTTGCTCTTGCTCTTTCACAGGAACACCAGTGGCATAGCCACT